GGAGTCCTGCCTCCGAATGCCCCTCCCCTGCTCTAACCACTAGACCCCACGTCCTCTCCCAGAGCCAATGATAGAACCCAGGAGTCCTGACTCCGAATGCCCCTCACCTTCTCTAACCACTAGACCCCATGTCCTCTCCCAGAGCCAATGATAGAACCCAGGAGTCCTGACTCCGAATGCCCCTTTCCTGCTCTAACCACTAGACCCCACGTCCTCTCCCAGAGCCAATGATAGAACCCAGGAGTCCTGACTCCGAATGCCCCTCTCCTGCTCTAACCACTAGACCCCACGTCCTCTCCCAGAGCCAATGATAGAACCCAGGAGTCCTGACTCCGAATGCCCCTCACCTTCTCTAACCACTAGACCCCATGTCCTCTCCCAGAGCCAATGATAGAACCCAGGAGTCCTGACTCCGAATGCCCCTCACCTTCTCTAACCACTAGACCCCACGTCCTCTCCCAGAGCCAATGATAGAACCCAGGAGTCCTGACTCCGAATGCCCCTCACCTTCTCTAACCACTAGACCCCATGTCCTCTCCCAGAGCCAATGATAGAACCCAGGTGTCCTGACTCCGAATGCCCTCACCTGCTCTAACCACTAGACCCCACGTCCTCTCCGAGAGCCAATGATAGAACCCAGGAGCCCTGGCTCCCAGCCCCTCCCTTCTTCAACAAATTGTTTCAGCTGGAATGTGGCCCAGCTACACAAGAAGAAAAACCGAGTCGGTTCTATCCCGAGGCTCCCCAGGGGAGACTGGTGGTGGTTCACATTTACAGCCCCCCACGATGGTGTCCGAGAGCCTCGTGGGGAAAGATCGTGAGGTTCTCACTCTGGCTCGGGGAGGGCAGTGGGGTGTGGTGGTGAGAGCAGAGGGGGGTTGGGAGCCAGGACTGCTGGGTTCTAACCGGTGTTCCCTGTAAGCCGGGCGCCTGTGCGGCCACTCAGGAGAGACAGTCCAGTGCTGCCCAGGTGATTAGCAGAGCGGTTTTGTTTCTACCGCTGGTGCACATCCGCCCCTCCCTTGGTGCACAGAACAAAAAGCATTCCGCGCTTGGATGGGCACAATTAGAGGGGATCCCCGTGCAGGGGGGGAAACTGAGGCACAGCAGAAGGAGGCAGCAGGGAGTTAGTGATGGAGAGGGGATTGGAGACCAGATCTCGTGAGCTCCAGCCCTGCGCCACTAAGGCCTCCCCTCCTTTTGCTAACCAGCCTCCTGTAACTCCGGGCGGAACGCAAGTCTGCTGCAGGGGGGCTTCGTGAAATAGACGGGGAAAGAGAATCCAGGTGGGTGAGGGGTGTTGGGCGGTGAAACATCTCCCCCGGGGGGGCAGGGCTGGGAACATGTGGGGTCAGACAGGGCAGAAATGGGAGCATCCCTGGGTCTGGAAACAAAGCCTCTTTGCTCTCCTGCCTTTTGCCCCCTGCCAGGATTACTCGGTGGAGGGAATGAGCGACTCGCTGCTCAATTTTCTTCAACACCTTCGGGAGTTTGGTCTGGTCTTCCAGAGAAAGGTATGTGGAGGGGGAGGGAGGCAGGGCTAGTGGTTAGAGCAGGGGGGGGAGGGGGCAGCCATGATTCCTGGGTTCTGTCTCCAGCTCTGGGAGAGGAGTGGGGGCTAGTGGTTAGAGCAGGGGGGGGAGGGGGCAGCCATGATTCCTGGGTTCTGTCTCCAGCTCTGGGAGAGGAGTGGGGGCTAGTGGTTAGAGCAGGGGGGGGAGGGGGCAGCCATGATTCCTGGGTTCTGTCTCCAGCTCTGGGAGAGGAGTGGGGGCTAGTGGTTAGAGCAGGGGGGGGAGGGGGCAGCCATGATTCCTGGGTTCTGTCTCCAGCTCTGGGAGAGGAGTGGGGGCTAGTGGTTAGAGCAGGGGGGGGAGGGGGCAGCCATGATTCCTGGGTTCTGTCTCCAGCTCTGGGAGAGGAGTGGGGGCTAGTGGTTAGAGCAGGGGGGGGAGGGGGCAGCCATGATTCCTGGGTTCTGTCTCCAGCTCTGGGAGAGGAGTGGGGGCTAGTGGTTAGAGCAGGGGGGGGAGGGGGCAGCCATGATTCCTGGGTTCTGTCTCCAGCTCTGGGAGAGGAGTGGGGGCTAGTGGTTAGAGCAGGGGGGGGAGGGGGCAGCCATGATTCCTGGGTTCTGTCTCCAGCTCTGGGAGAGGAGTGGGGGCTAGTGGTTAGAGCAGGGGGGGGAGGGGGCAGCCATGATTCCTGGGTTCTGTCTCCAGCTCTGGGAGAGGAGTGGGGGCTAGTGGTTAGAGCAGGGGGGGGAGGGGGCAGCCATGATTCCTGGGTTCTGTCTCCAGCTCTGGGAGAGGAGTGGGGGCTAGTGGTTAGAGCAGGGGGGGGAGGGGGCAGCCATGATTCCTGGGTTCTGTCTCCAGCTCTGGGAGAGGAGTGGGGGCTAGTGGTTAGAGCAGGGGGGGGAGGGGGCAGCCATGATTCCTGGGTTCTGTCTCCAGCTCTGGGAGAGGAGTGGGGGCTAGTGGTTAGAGCAGGGGGGGGAGGGGGCAGCCATGATTCCTGGGTTCTGTCTCCAGCTCTGGGAGAGGAGTGGGGGCTAGTGGTTAGAGCAGGGGGGGGAGGGGGCAGCCATGATTCCTGGGTTCTGTCTCCAGCTCTGGGAGAGGAGTGGGGGCTAGTGGTTAGAGCAGGGGGGGGAGGGGGCAGCCATGATTCCTGGGTTCTGTCTCCAGCTCTGGGAGAGGAGTGGGGGCTAGTGGTTAGAGCAGGGGGGGGAGGGGGCAGCCATGATTCCTGGGTTCTGTCTCCAGCTCTGGGAGAGGAGTGGGGGCTAGTGGTTAGAGCAGGGGGGGGAGGGGGCAGCCATGATTCCTGGGTTCTGTCTCCAGCTCTGGGAGAGGAGTGGGGGCTAGTGGTTAGAGCAGGGGGGGGAGGGGGCAGCCATGATTCCTGGGTTCTGTCTCCAGCTCTGGGAGAGGAGTGGGGGCTAGTGGTTAGAGCAGGGGGGGGAGGGGGCAGCCATGATTCCTGGGTTCTGTCTCCAGCTCTGGGAGAGGAGTGGGGGCTAGTGGTTAGAGCAGGGGGGGGAGGGGGCAGCCATGATTCCTGGGTTCTGTCTCCAGCTCTGGGAGAGGAGTGGGGGCTAGTGGTTAGAGCAGGGGGGGGAGGGGGCAGCCATGATTCCTGGGTTCTGTCTCCAGCTCTGGGAGAGGAGTGGGGGCTAGTGGTTAGAGCAGGGGGGGGAGGGGGCAGCCATGATTCCTGGGTTCTGTCTCCAGCTCTGGGAGAGGAGTGGGGGCTAGTGGTTAGAGCAGGGGGGGGAGGGGGCAGCCATGATTCCTGGGTTCTGTCTCCAGCTCTGGGAGAGGAGTGGGGGCTAGTGGTTAGAGCAGGGGGGGGAGGGGGCAGCCATGATTCCTGGGTTCTGTCTCCAGCTCTGGGAGAGGAGTGGGGGCTAGTGGTTAGAGCAGGGGGGGGAGGGGGCAGCCATGATTCCTGGGTTCTGTCTCCAGCTCTGGGAGAGGAGTGGGGGCTAGTGGTTAGAGCAGGGGGGGGAGGGGGCAGCCATGATTCCTGGGTTCTGTCTCCAGCTCTGGGAGAGGAGTGGGGGCTAGTGGTTAGAGCAGGGGGGGGAGGGGGCAGCCATGATTCCTGGGTTCTGTCTCCAGCTCTGGGAGAGGAGTGGGGGCTAGTGGTTAGAGCAGGGGGGGGAGGGGGCAGCCATGATTCCTGGGTTCTGTCTCCAGCTCTGGGAGAGGAGTGGGGGCTAGTGGTTAGAGCAGGGGGGGGAGGGGGCAGCCATGATTCCTGGGTTCTGTCTCCAGCTCTGGGAGAGGAGTGGGGGCTAGTGGTTAGAGCAGGGGGGGGAGGGGGCAGCCATGATTCCTGGGTTCTGTCTCCAGCTCTGGGAGAGGAGTGGGGGCTAGTGGTTAGAGCAGGGGGGGGAGGGGGCAGCCATGATTCCTGGGTTCTGTCTCCAGCTCTGGGAGAGGAGTGGGGGCTAGTGGTTAGAGCAGGGGGGGGAGGGGGCAGCCATGATTCCTGGGTTCTGTCTCCAGCTCTGGGAGAGGAGTGGGGGCTAGTGGTTAGAGCAGGGGGGGGAGGGGGCAGCCATGATTCCTGGGTTCTGTCTCCAGCTCTGGGAGAGGAGTGGGGGCTAGTGGTTAGAGCAGGGGGGGGAGGGGGCAGCCATGATTCCTGGGTTCTGTCTCCAGCTCTGGGAGAGGAGTGGGGGCTAGTGGTTAGAGCAGGGGGGGGAGGGGGCAGCCATGATTCCTGGGTTCTGTCTCCAGCTCTGGGAGAGGAGTGGGGGCTAGTGGTTAGAGCAGGGGGGGGAGGGGGCAGCCATGATTCCTGGGTTCTGTCTCCAGCTCTGGGAGAGGAGTGGGGGCTAGTGGTTAGAGCAGGGGGGGGAGGGGGCAGCCATGATTCCTGGGTTCTGTCTCCAGCTCTGGGAGAGGAGTGGGGGCTAGTGGTTAGAGCAGGGGGGGGAGGGGGCAGCCATGATTCCTGGGTTCTGTCTCCAGCTCTGGGAGAGGAGTGGGGGCTAGTGGTTAGAGCAGGGGGGGGAGGGGGCAGCCATGATTCCTGGGTTCTGTCTCCAGCTCTGGGAGAGGAGTGGGGGCTAGTGGTTAGAGCAGGGGGGGGAGGGGGCAGCCATGATTCCTGGGTTCTGTCTCCAGCTCTGGGAGAGGAGTGGGGGCTAGTGGTTAGAGCAGGGGGGGGAGGGGGCAGCCATGATTCCTGGGTTCTGTCTCCAGCTCTGGGAGAGGAGTGGGGGCTAGTGGTTAGAGCAGGGGGGGGAGGGGGCAGCCATGATTCCTGGGTTCTGTCTCCAGCTCTGGGAGAGGAGTGGGGGCTAGTGGTTAGAGCAGGGGGGGGAGGGGGCAGCCATGATTCCTGGGTTCTGTCTCCAGCTCTGGGAGAGGAGTGGGGGCTAGTGGTTAGAGCAGGGGGGGGAGGGGGCAGCCATGATTCCTGGGTTCTGTCTCCAGCTCTGGGAGAGGAGTGGGGGCTAGTGGTTAGAGCAGGGGGGGGAGGGGGCAGCCATGATTCCTGGGTTCTGTCTCCAGCTCTGGGAGAGGAGTGGGGGCTAGTGGTTAGAGCAGGGGGGGGAGGGGGCAGCCATGATTCCTGGGTTCTGTCTCCAGCTCTGGGAGAGGAGTGGGGGCTAGTGGTTAGAGCAGGGGGGGGAGGGGGCAGCCATGATTCCTGGGTTCTGTCTCCAGCTCTGGGAGAGGAGTGGGGGCTAGTGGTTAGAGCAGGGGGGGGAGGGGGCAGCCATGATTCCTGGGTTCTGTCTCCAGCTCTGGGAGAGGAGTGGGGGCTAGTGGTTAGAGCAGGGGGGGGAGGGGGCAGCCATGATTCCTGGGTTCTGTCTCCAGCTCTGGGAGAGGAGTGGGGGCTAGTGGTTAGAGCAGGGGGGGGAGGGGGCGGCCATGATTCCTGGGTTCTGTCTCCAGCTCTGGGAGAGGAGTGGGGGCTAGTGGTTAGAGCAGGGGGGGGAGGGGGGAGCGCTGGTTGCGGGGGTTGGTCCCGGGGAAGGACCATCCGAGCTGGCAGGAAGAGCTGTGGGTGGCCTCGCGGGGGTGCCAGCCCGTAACACTTTCCCCTTCGCCTGCAGATTATTCACTTCCTACGGACCCGAGCGCACCCTGTGATGCTGAGACAGGTGAGACGGGGGGCCCTGGTCTGTGTAGCATTGACGGCAGGATCTCCCTAAGTCCGGGGGGCTGGAGAGAACTAGCCAGGGCAGAGATGAAGGGCTGGAATGGCTGATCGCTGACCAGGCACAGCCCGTAACACTTTCCCCTTCGCCTGCAGATTATTCACTTCCTACGGACCCGAGCGCACCCTGTGATGCTGAGACAGGTGAGACGGGGGGCCCTGGTCTGTGTAGCATTGACGGCAGGATCTCCCTAAGTCCGGGGGGCTGGAGAGAACTAGCCAGGGCAGAGATGAAGGGCTGGAATGGCTGATCGCTGACCAGGCAGGGGTGAAGGAGGGCAGGGTGAGAGACAGGAGAGGGTCCGGAGAGCCAGTGGACAGAGGGGAAGGGGCAGATACCAGAGAAATCAGGTGTCCCTTGGCCGCCGGTGGGGTTGGTAACTACTGAGGGACTCCTCCTTTGCTCCCCCTCAACAGACCCCGGTGCTGCCTCCAACCATCACGGATCAGATCCGGCTCTGGGAGATGGAGCGCGACCGGCTGCGCTTCTCCGAGGGTGAGTGTCTCAAAGGAAGAGCTGGTTGCTGGGGAAGGGACAGTGTCCTGGTGGCATCTGATGGGGTTTTTTTCTCCCTTTGCTCCATTCTACCTACCCTTCATCCCACTTGTCCATCCACCTCTGCCCCGTTCTCCCTCCTCCTGCCTACTCTTCACCCATCCCTCATTCCTCCTGCCCCCTTCATCCCACTTGTCCATCCACCCCTGCCCCCTTCTCCCTCCTCCTGCCTACTCTTCACCCATCCCTCATTCCTCCTGCCCCCTTCATCCCACTTGTCCATCCACCCCTGCCCCCTTCTCCCTCCTCCTGCCTACTCTTCACCCATCCCTCATTCCTCCTGCCCCCTTCATCCCACTTGTCCATCCACCCCTGCCCCCTTCTCCCTCCTCCTGCCTACTCTTCACCCATCCCTCATTCCTCCTGCCCCCTTCATCCCACTTGTCCATCCACCCCTGCCCCCTTCTCCCTCCTCCTGCCTACTCTTCACCCATCCCTCATTCCTCCTGCCCCCTTCATCCCACTTGTCCATCCACCCCTGCCCCCTTCTCCCTCCTCCTGCCTACTCTTCACCCATCCCTCATTCCTCCTGCCCCCTTCATCCCACTTGTCCATCCACCCCTGCCCCCTTCTCCCTCCTCCTGCCTACTCTTCACCCATCCCTCATTCCTCCTGCCCCCTTCATCCCACTTGTCCATCCACCCCTGCCCCCTTCTCCCTCCTCCTGCCTACTCTTCACCCATCCCTCATTCCTCCTGCCCCCTTCATCCCACTTGTCCATCCACCCCTGCCCCCTTCTCCCTCCTCCTGCCTACTCTTCACCCATCCCTCATTCCTCCTGCCCCCTTCATCCCACTTGTCCATCCACCCCTGCCCCCTTCTCCCTCCTCCTGCCTACTCTTCACCCATCCCTCATTCCTCCTGCCCCCTTCATCCCACTTGTCCATCCACCCCTGCCCCCTTCTCCCTCCTCCTGCCTACTCTTCACCCATCCCCTCTCCTGGCTCCCCCTCTGCTCCCACCCGTGCCCCCTCCCCATGCAGGCGTGCTGTACAACCAGTTCCTGTCCCAGGTGGACTTCGAGCTGTTGCGGAACCACGCCCGGGACCTGGGCGTGCTGGTCTTCGAAAACCCGGCCAAGCGCCTCATGGTGGTGACCCCTGCCGGGCACTCTGACGTCAAGCGTTTTTGGAAGAGGCAGAAGCAGAGCTCCTGAAGGGGACCCCCCCCTCTGATGCGGGGGGAGGGGGAGACGCCCCTGCTGTGCTGCGTGCCCGGCCGTTACGCAGCAAAGTTCAGTGGATCTGCGGCAGGAGTTAAATCGCAGCAACTCACCCTGCCTGTCATCCCCCAAATTGGGCACCTCATTGGCAGATCTCTGTGCCCCTGCCTTGCCAGCAGCCAAGAGGTTACACGATGGAGCTCCCCCTTTTCTTACCCTTGCGGGGGGGGGGCACTGAATGGTCACCTTTGAACCCATGGCTGTGGGGTGGGATGCACCTTCCAAGGTGCGACTGAGGCCTGCAAGTTGTACCCTTTGGGGGGGGGGGGGCCGGTATCCTCAAATGGTCCAGGACTGGGTTACATGCCCCATAACCCTTCAGCTCATGCCACTGGGGGGAGGAGGGGAGGCGGCTTTCCAGCTGCCAGAGGAAGAGTCCCTGGGGATCTTTCTCCTCTCTGGGGGGGCGCCAGCTCCTATCTTGCCTTAGGACGGGACTGAGACAGGCTGGCCCTGCTTTGTCACAATGAGCGTCAACCAGCAACCCCACTGGCGTGAATGCAGCAGTTTCCCTCTCATCTGGTGCAAATCAGGAGTAGCCAAACTGAAGTCACTCCCCGCACGGAATTGGAGTGACCCTGTTCACACGGGCCGAATGGGTCCCGGTCCAGCCCTGGCTCTTGTCGCCGTCGATGGGCTGATCTGGATTGACACCACGCTCAGCATCTGGCGCTGGCTCTACAGGTGTCTCCATGGCTGTACAGCCGGGAGTGGACAGGAGAATCCAGCCCACTACTTGTAAATAGGTTTTTCTAGCTGTGAAGACGAATAAAGCTCCCCTGTGAAAGTCGTCGTCCTTGCTGCTTTTGGCCGGGGCGGTGTCTTCCCGGCTGACCTGGGGCACGCCCCCACAGGGAGGTGCAGAAGCCCTGACTTGATTTCCCTTTGCCTCCCTGCACAGCTGGGTGTGAAACAGCATCTTTGACTGCAAGGGGGTCAGCCAAGCACCTCCCACGTATTAAGGAATTTAGCTCCTCCGCCTTTGCAAAGTTTAGGACTAAATACCATGTGAAATAATAGAAGGGGCGACAGAGGAGGGATCACATGAAGATTCCCTGTTCTGTTCCCTCCCTCTGGGGCACCTGGCACTGGCCACTGTCACCAGCTAAGGGGCAACCAGGAAGCCAGAAGCTGTGGCTAAGAGCCCAGCAAGGTCACCTCTTTGTGAGTAATGACTCACGTTTACAGCTCCTGCTGATGGCGGGATGGTGTGCTAAAGCGTGCCCACCGTGGAATCCACCAACCCACGGAGCCGAGTGCGGGTGGAAAGTCGCTGGACCATTCCCATTGTGCCCACCGTGGAATCCACCAACCCATGGAGCCGAGTGCGGGAGACATGCATTGGGTGGAAAGTCGCTGGACCATTCCCATGAAACGTTGGGACATCCTTGTCTCCTTGCCCCATCAGGCTGACTGAGGCCATATCTATATTTGTGTGCCTGAAATCGATCTTCTGGCATTTGATTTAGTGGGTCTAGTGTTGTGTGCCTGAAATCGATCTTCTGGCGTTTGATTTAGTGGGTCTAGTTAAGACCCACTAAATCGAATGCTGAGGGCACCTCTGGTTGGCGCCTATACTGGCAGTCGCTAAGAGTAAGGGAAGCCACCGGGAGCTTTTGCTGCCATCAACCTCCCACTGTGGAGACGATGCCATGCTCAGCTTTAGGTAAACCAACTCTAGCTACATTATTTACGTAACTGGAGTTGCATACCTTAAGCTGACCTTCTGGGTCTAGTGTAGGCATAGCCTGAGACAGCTGTATCTAGAGGCTTTGGTTGGCCTTGTTTTTGGAAAAGTCTTCTCTTGACAGGTCAGTGGGGTCCCCACCCCTGCCCTAAAGCGACAGAATGGAGCAAGTCCTTCCCTCTTACTCCATTTCTGTTGCTTCCCTTTTGCTTTTCTTATGGGTCAATGGAGAGGGGAAAACTTTACTGGAAAATTAGGTGGTCAATAAAAATGATTTTTACCCACAGCCATTTGCTTTCCGTGGGCAATGCTCATTGGTTAAACCCAGATGCTGGAAAAACAAAATATTGCCATTTTGCAGCTCGTGAATTCTTTAACTTAATATGCTTTAGTTTTCCACAACATCCCCCAAAGAGTTATGGGGCGGGAGCTATACCACTCTGTTGATCTAAGATACGCAACTTCAGCTACACAAACAGCGCTGATCAAATCAATATACTTACCACGCGTCTTCCAAGCAGTAAGGTCAGCAGGGGCTGCTCTCCCATGGACTCCGCCTACTCCTCTCGTCATGGTGCAGTATCGGAGCTGACGGGAGAGTGCTCTAAGGTTGATTGATCATGTCTAAGCAGACTCTGCTTTAAGTTAGTATAAGAGGTAGCAACATACCAAATTTGGTGGTCCTAGCTCTCACCGTTTAGGAGGAGTTCTTGAACAGATGGACTCCCAGACGGACAGATGCACAAACTCCCTCAAATATATAGTAGAAGATCAGAGTCATGACTCCAAGCAAATGAGTCAAATTTAAAAAAAAAAAATCTTTATTGGCTTAGAGAAAAATTGTCAGACTGAAGGACACCTTTATAAATATGTCTGAACAAAAATACTTCACATAGAGAAAGTGTCAGGAAAATCAACTTCCACTTAGAAATAAACACTGTTGTAGAAAAATGATCCGTGTACACAATGACGTAACTAAGCTCTATGGGGCAAAGTTATTTGTTTCTTCGGTGTTTGTAAAGCCCCTAGTGTGGGTCTTACGTGCTAACGTAATATAAATAATTAAGAAAAAGAATTGAAGAGAAATGTGCTTCAGTGTTAGCAGATCGGGAGAATTAAAGAAATAAGGCATTCCCATGAAAAGATTTATCACTGGATGTGTAAAGAAGTAAAAATGTTACAGGAAAACTGGGGTAATAAGGATTCTTTGGTAGAAGCAACTATTGAAATATCAATTATTGAAAGAATTGTCTTGTTAACTAAGGCCTTTATCCAGAACAAAAATTGAACAAGTGATTAACTTAATCCATGTAAATATTCCCATGTGGATATCAATGGCATGTCTGTTTAAGTGGCCAAAATGCACAAGGAATCAAAATTACATTAGGGAGCAATTTTAAATATGACAGTACAGTAACCTGTGTAAGTATTTGGGATGTAAGCTGATCTCACGAGCGACAACGTGAAAAAAACAAAACACCGACGTGCTGGAGTGAAAAGCAAAATGCCTAACCAAGGAAAAGCTGTGATGACAAACCAAGAAACCACATAGCCTTCGGCTCACACGACAAAGAAGATTGTGCTATAGAAGAAAGGAAAAAAAAATTAGAAAAATATTTTAAGTTAGAGAATCAAACAGAATTCTATACTGAGATGGGGTGGCTTAGATATTAGCATCAGAATTTATATTCTAGTCGTGTATTTATTGGGATTAAGGCAGCTGGTCCGCATGGGAAGCTGTTTTTTAAACTGGCCCCCCTTACTAGCTCCCACCTGGCAGCAGTGTGGAGTAGCAGGGGGCTCCTCAGGAGTGAGGCCGGAGCGCCCCACCCCCGGGGACTACAGAATCTGACTGGTGCCAAACCAGAGAATTTGCCGAACCAGAGGAAATCAATGTCGTCTAGCAGCATCACCAACACTTCCACTGCTTAGAAGACATTTAGGGTAAATCAGAGCTAAATAACATAACAAAACACGGAGAGCCAGAACTGGAGGCTGCAAACAAACTTTATAGGACCGTGGGAAATTTAGCCACACCCACGATAAGTGGACATCCGGCTAACTCAAATCATGCTGGACCACGGAAGTTGTCAGACCAGAGAGTGCCGGACTAGAGAGGTTCAACCTGTAGTTACATCAACAGACAGTCATTCCAGTAGCTAAAATCAATGAGTCAGTTTAATCATTTTCACATTTATGACGGCAACTTACCAAATCAAAGACACTTCCACAGCGGTGCGTAGTAAGTCTGATCCTGGGGCTTCGCTTGCTTTCGGCGTGCCATGCCCTCTGCTGAACTGGCCGCCCGACGTCCTTTGCTCAGCCATGATTTAACATACGCGGAAGGATTCCACTCTGTGTAGGGAGGTCCGACAATTGAAATAAAAAGTAGATTGGCCACATGCTGAGTGGTCAGTGCAGTCCGCGTATCCGTGATTATGTTGTTCATTACGCTGAAGACCTGTTCGCAGCAGTCAGCATTACTCACTGCAAGCGTGTTTACAGCGAGGAGCAATTTCTTTAATTTCTCAGGTACAATCAGCCCTGCACAACATTTGTACTCTACAAATCCCAAGTGTGATTCATGGTGACCAACTTTCAGAGTTTCGCATAATGCCCGGATTTCGGTTTCTCCAAACCAGGGATTTTCTGCGTGTTGCTGCCATGTTTCGGGTTTCAAAACAGACACATTCTCAAGCAGATTCTGGTCAGCAATTTCATTGCTTGCTGCTGGGCTTTGAGTAGCGGTGCTGGTGAATAACTTGCATCTGATGTTGTCAACCACGGCCTGAATGAATTGTGACGGGTTAATGATGGGACTTTCTCTGGCAGCAGTCAACTTTGTGTTCTTGAACATCATCGCCTCTTCGGCTTGCTGTGCTTGTTTAGTGTGCAATCCAGAGATTCTCCTCAAGCTGTCGATTCTCTGCAAATACACTTTCATCAGGTTGTCTGCTTTGGGGATCATCAGTTCTTGGTCTTGTAAAAGTTCGGACAAATTCTTGAGCTCTGTTAAGACATCTAACATTAATGAGAGATTTTTCACAAACTGGACCGAACACAGTTTTGAATGGAGACCCTGGAATTTTTCTCGTTCCCTTCCATCCCTCGATTGGTCCCGCGAGGCTTCCTCAAAATATTTAGCTAATGTTGGGTAAGTCTGCCAGACTGCATTGACAGCTTTCCACGTTGAAGCTACCCATTGTACACTGAAAACTCGGCCTATTTTTTTAAGTATAACATGCAGTTCGTTTGCATGTGCCCTGAGCTCACAGGCGTTTTTTGGTGATTGACTGCACAGTGAATACAAGCTGTCTAAAAATGCCCTGAAATCGTTTGTACCCCCCGTGATATCCAGTGCTTGATCAACCACCAATTCAAGTCTATGGTTAAGACAATGCCACAGAATGAGATTTGGGAAGTCTTTTTGTAGGAGTTTGCCCAACCCAGCTTTGGCTCCAAGCATGAGGTTTGCACCATCACTGCAAAAACTGACAAAGGCCTCCGTCAGTAATTCCTTAGTGAATCCATAGTGCAACAAGCAATTGATTATGTCTTGCTTTATGTTCTCAACCGATGTGTTGTCTAACTCAATTAAATCCAAAGGAAAAGCTACTGGATTCATCACACCATCAACACTGGCTTTTAAAAAAATTATAAGAGTAGATTTTCGAGCAAGAGTAGAATATTCATCAACTAGTACAGTGATCTTGGATTTGGCCTCGATTATCCTCGAGACGATTCTTTGCTTCATTTCTAAAGAGACATGCTCTATGATATCACCACAGACAGTTCTGCTTTGAAGCAATCGCCCCATCTCAACCCCATTCACTTTTTGCAGGTCAATCAGGCTTTTGTGGTCAGTATATGGCCGATTCATTTTCGCGATGTAGTAAGCTGTCCTGAACACGCGAGCAGTGGTTACAAGTGCTAATTCTTCATTTTTTGCTTTGATCAGACTGTCTCTCTTAGCTGCGTCTAAAAGTTTTGTTGCTTCAGTGTGAGCCGCTGAATTCTTGTGTTCGATAATTTTTTTTCGAAGTGACGTGAGCTGTGTTTTTCTAGTTTTTCCAAAAGAGGAAATCTGACATTCAGACCACTGAGAAGCAATGTTCACACCCCGCCCTCGAGCAGAGAAAAGCTTGAAGTTGGAAACGTGTCTACACGTTCTACAACCCAGCTTTCCATAGGACGCAAACAACCAATCATTTTTCCTTTGGAATTCCTCATATTGAACCCTGGACCACACAACTGGATATTGCTTTTCATCAGTAGGGTCACCCTGCGATTCAGCAGAAATCATGCCCTCCTCCAGTTTTATAATTGGACTTGCTGTGGCTTCGTGCTGTGTTGGTGACTCATTTGCCATTTTTTTAGAGGTCCTACTTTCTTCACATCCATCCTCAGCTTTGCGCTTGAACATTTTTAACATTTGTTGCTTTGACTTTGTGATCAGCCCTCATTAATCCAACAGCCACTTAATAAACACCTAACTCCTTAGCTAAATTTGGTTTCTCAATTTGACAGTCTTCAATTTCACTATCTGCCCAGATCTTTTATTTCTGCCCCATGCAACAGCAGCATATGAATGAAGTGTAGTTAGGTAGGTCAGAGTGAAATTTGTTGTAGAGCTACCTAGTGGAAATGCAGCTGCTTTACCTGTTGGGAGGGAGGCTGAAAGTTCGAGCCCAGCCACTGGGATTGTGAATTTCAGGTTTGTAGCTGGTCCTGGGTTGCTTCCAAATCATTAGAAAGTCCTCAGCTCCTTTGGTCAGAATGCTGTCATTAGTATATATTCTTAGTCCAGTGGCTGGAGCAGGAAAGAGGCCTGAGCAGAAAAGAGGCAAAATGGAGACGTTTCCAGGGCCTTTTAGCTTATGTCGAGTGAAGGAAAATCTGTTCCTACTGTGAAAGATGGTGTTTGGAGTCAGACACTGCAAGTTACATGTCCTTTCCTATCCATTATTCTACTTAGAACATTCACAGGAAAAGTCCATTTAGTATAGACAGGTGATTTCCAGTCCATTGTTAAGCTAAGTATTCCTTAATGGACCATTCAACTTGACTTGTCCCTGCCTGTGTTGGTTAAATACCTTCTGGGTGTTACCACAGGAGGAAACACTTAGTAAAACGCAGGTAATAGTCATAACTTCAGATACCAAGGTGATACTTGCATAGAAATCGCATAACCAGAAGTACCAGCTATTTCACGTACATGCCTACTTCGAAAAGAGATTCTGAAAAAAAAAAAAATCACATCATGTATCAGAGACCCTATACGCCAGGAACTGACATGTAATGATTATGGTAACTGATAAGCTCATGCTTACTGGTTAACCGTTTAAACGATTATATTGTTGCATCCCTACTCACCACATAGTGAAATTGTCACCAGCCCTATAGCAGAGCTGATTCTGAGTGTGTTACTCTGCTGCGGAGGGCGTGGGGGGGAAGGAAGCTGTTCCCCGAACTCTGTGCCTTTGAGCTTTTGCAGGACACACTGGGGGAGGGGCTTGGTGGCATGATCAGCATGCCAGGGAACAGCCCCAAGGAGACCTCTGTGATCGAACCGGTCACACTGCCTACATCACATGGCTCTCTCTGTCGATGCAAGACAAGAGCTGGTAACGTGGATGCATGCTGCTGACACAAGAAGCACAGCATGACCATGCAACAGCAGTTTAACTAAAGCAGTGTAACATCTGGAGATAAAACTCTGACACAGCCCCAGTCTGTGGACCTGCCACGGTCCCTAGACCACGAGTTGAGAGCCAGGCAGGCAGACTCCAAGCTCGGCCTGAGGGAGGCACTGTGGGAAAGGTGAGTCTAAGAATTGACCCAGGGACCTCCCCCACAGCCTGACATCTGCATACACAGTTTGTGGAACTGTCATCCCCCAATGCCCTTCAGCTCCCAGCTGGGAAACAACACCCCACCCCCCGAAATTATCCGGGAACCAACATAATCTGTCTCCTTTCTCCACCCCCATGGCATCTATGGGGAGAGTCAGTTTCCCTGTCCCAATGCAACAACCAGCCACCCTACCATGTGTCTTCCCTGCCCCATCTCCTTCCGCCCCATTTCCCTTGGCCTGGGTCTTTGACAGCCCTTCCCACCCGTGTTCTCCTCCATCCCCTCTCCGTGAACTCCAGAGGCTGTGTCTAGACTGGGAAGTTTTTCCGCAAAAAAACTTGCCAGCTGTCTACACTGGCCGCTTGAATTTCCAGAAAAGCACTGACGATCTCATGTAAAATCATCAGTGTTTTTCTGGAAAAACTATGCTGCTCCCGTTCGGGCAAAAGTCTTTTTCCGAAAGACTTTTGCGCAAAAGGGCCAGTGTAGACAGCACAGTACCGTTTTCCGCAAAAAAGCCCCGATCACGAAAATGGCGATCGGGGCTTTTTTGCGGAAAAGCACGTCTAGATTGGCTACGGACACT